GGGGGGTGTCAGAGGAAGCCCACAGCACTTTAGTTTTCTGTTGAGCCAAGGCCAAAGGATGGAGGGGACTCCACCCCCCTTTTCAATGAGCCTTCGGGCACCAAACGACCCTCCAGCAGACCCACCAACCTTTAATTGCTCAGCTTTGAATTCCAAGTCGATCTCCAGGAGCTCTTGGGGTTCTGGATGCCGTTTCTTTAGGATGGTGGTTTCTGGTTTGGGGGGGTAGTCTGATAATCTGAACTTAATTTTGACGCCTGAAATACAGGGGAGAGCAGAGGAAGAATTTCAGCCAGGCCAGGATTCCAGGGGATTTTCCTCTCTTCCTCCCAGCGGAACGCGGGAGAGAAAAGACATTTTCTCCTTCTGGCCCTTCCGGAGATGCGGAGGCCTCATGGGGAGAAAGGAGCCCCACGGCGGAGACGGGCTCCGAAGGGCTATACTCACACGGGCCAAACTTCATGTACTGCGTAAATATCTCTCTGTATCTCTCAAATCCTCGCTCGTGTAATCTAGCAGGGAAATATTGGAAAATAAGCCATCAGAAGGCAAACCATAAGGCACTGGTGCCCGAAAAGCAGCTGGGGGAAAATGGCCCCCAGGAGAAAAACCCGCCAGATCCCTCAACCAGGCGAGTCAGAGAAAGCAGCCCACTCCTGGCTCTTCCCCTGAGCCCAAGAAACACAGAGGGGCCACTTCCCCCCGGCCTCTTCGGGACCCTTCCCCGTCTTGCTTTATCCGAAAGGTCTTTCCGTGCAGCACTTTGCAGACTTCGGGCTCCCACAACTGGGCTGCAGGGGATCTGGAGCTCTGCTGGTCTTCCACCCATTTGCAGCCCAGCTGATCACGTGACCGGTTTGTTTAAATCAACCCTTCCCCACTTCCCTGCTTCTTGTATAGACTATTCCGACCTTGCCAGACTTAAATGTGGCCACGCCCAGGGATTTATTTTGGAATTGTGTCCTCCTGACACGGTGACACTGAGATGGGGGGGGGGAGAGATATTTTGCAGTGGGTGTGTGGAAATTACACGTTGGGTGTGGGACTGCAAAACTCTAGGCGACCAATAGAGGGTAGCAGGGAGCTCAGAGTTTCAGAGGGGAGGCGGAGACCTTCCACCGGGCAACGCCGCTTACTCGTCTATGAGCATCGCTTTCATCTTGCTGTCCATCGCTCCAAGGGACAGTCGGCCGTGGGGACGGATGTCGATTCCGCTGCCTGGCTTCTCCAGGAAGTCCTGTATCACCCACCGGAAAACCTCTTTGTAGGTCCTGCAACACAAAAACTACAAAGGAGCCTGGGGTTCAGAGAAGGGAGGGCCGCCATGCACCCTACTCAGGCCTGGCCTTTGCCTTTCGGCATTTAATAATCCCCAGGCGAGAATATACTGGTTCCGTGTCCTGAGGTGGCTCGCGAAGGCCTCTCGGTTTCTTTCTGAACTGATTCTTGACTCACCCAAGGGCGAGATCACAAGGACCGTCCCAGCTTGGCCCACCTGAGCAACCGGTCTCTCCACCGCGGCTGAGAGTCCTTGTCCTATGGAGGCTGCTTTCCTGGGTGTTGTCTACCCTGTTCCTGGTCTTCTCCTGGACCGGGATTTGCCTAGAAGTCTTGGTCTTACTTTTCAGGGTCTCCTCGGCCATCCCTGATCAAGAATCCATGTGAAGATGCAAATATGTATTCACTTACACAGATTGCCTTCATCCCATGGACTCTGGCCAACACACAGACCATCTTCCTCTTTTAACCACCCCATCATCCCCCTTGCAATGGGGTGGGCAACTGGGCAACTGAATGGAGCTAGCAGAGTGTTTTAAGAGCCAGGTGCCCTTCCTGTCACCAGGGCGGAGTTTTGTTCAGCAGATATATTCCCAGTGCCTGGGCAATATACGGATGCCATGTATAATTTAGAACGGTAATACAGAGGCAACAATAAGGATCGGCAGTTTTGATTCAGCTCTGCTCACCTTTTCTAGAGCTAACAAACAGCTCCATCCACTTATTCCTTCTTTATTGTTCTGCTTAGTGACAGAAATACTAGCGTAGCAAGTGCCTTATAAGCAAATTTCAAATTTGAGGAATCATTACAGAAGGTAAAGCCTATTTATTAATTTTAATTATGGGTGATGTGTTTCTCCCCCTGTCTAATGTGGCCCCCAAGGTTTCTTAGTATATAAAGTTTTTAGGAGGGTGTCATATTTTATGGTTAATTTTTAAAAGTCAGTTATTTTGCATTGACATTCTTCCTAAATTGAAAACATTATGTCTTGTATCATAGACATTTCTGTTTGCCCGAGTCCTTGTGAGGCATAGCAGTACAAAAATGTAGTTAATACATATTTCAAATTTAAATGCCTTCAGTGCTTGGGATTATGTGTACCCAGAATTTTTTAAACCTTGCTTAACATTAATTATAGTACGGTAATAGGAGTCATGTTACAGACAGATATGCAAATACGAATTTCCACTCAAGGAATAAAAATGGCCCAATCCTTCTCTGAGGTAAAGTACAGGCAGACCTCAAGTTACAACGGGAAGGGAGCCTGCCCCTCACGGTCGTAACTTGGGATGGCTACAAAAATGGGTCAGTCATGTGATGGACCTGATTTTACAACCTTTTTTGCAGCAGTCATTAAGTGGATCAATAAATTCCTAATGGGCGTGGTTTAAACGAAAACTGGAAATAAATGCCAATGTTCAACAAAACCACCATAAATAGGACTAGAGGAGGAGGCTGCAAATGACACGGACGCGGCCGGGTTGCTGAGTGCCCAAAGGGGGGACCGTCAGGACCTCGAGTCTGAATGGTAAGTCATACACACGCACCCTGGTAGCTCTGTCAGGACTCAAGACTGCTCACGAAGCGATCGGCTGTAAGTCAAGGACCACCTGTGTCACTATACCTATCGCCCCAGTGGTCAGCACAGGTTTCGAAAGGCAATGCGCGCCATTTTGTCTTCTCCAAAAATAATGACGGTACAGAAAAGCCATGTGCCATTAGGAATGGATATTTTTACAGTTTTATATAGTCTAAGGTTTCCTCCAGAATTTCATCAGTTCATCAGGAAATCCTGATCGCCAGACAGGCAGTATTTGAGAAAGGTAGACCTACGTGATCCATCGCCTCCGGCTTCTCCTCCAGCTCCTCCGGGGACGGCAAACGCTTCACGAGGGAGGTGCAAAACTCACAGCGGCCCATCAGGCACAGATCGGTGACCAAATGATCCTCAAAGACACAAAGGCGTTAAATATTTTTCCCCAGATTGAATCAACAGCGCAAACAGTTTTGCAGGTAAAGTTGCTTATACGCAGGCCATTTGGTATAACAATAGGATAGGATAGGATAGGACAGGATAGGATAGAATAGGATAGAATAGAATAGAATAAGGAATGGAATGGAATAAAATAGAACAGAACAATATAGAATAGAAAATATACAATAGAATAGAAGAGGATAGAGGATAGAGGAGGATATAATGGGATATAATAGGAAATAAGAATAGAATAAATAGAACGGAATAAGGAATAGAATAGAATAAAATAAAATAGGAAACAATAGGATAGGATAAGATAGAATAGAATAGAATTCTTTATTGGCCACGTGTGATTGGACACAGAAGGAATTTGTCTTTGGTGCAAATGCTCTCAGTGTACATAAAAGATACAAATGCCTTCTACATTCATGAAAATCATTGTTTTCATTCAGCAAGAACCTGACATTCACAACTGGGTAGAGAAACTGGATTTTGTGACTGAGTAAGTAGGACTTCTTCTCAGTTATGATGGTGGGTGCCTAGAGGAGTGGAGAGGTGGTCTTGAGACACGCAGCAACCATTAGCAGGACATGAAGATAGCTCTGGAGATCAGGAGGCGGTGAGGAGGAAACTGAAGGTTGCCCCACCCTGACTGTCTTTGGAGCAAATGGGAGAGAAGGGGACACAGGCATTCAAGGTCGGCCTTTAAGACAGGCAGGGGATGGATAGCACAAGAAATGCTACAATTCTACTTTTATCCAAAGAGGCTATAATAACAAGACCTGGTAGTAACTAAAGGCACGGGGAGAAAGGAGCTGGTGGATTGAGGCTTATTGGAAATGACAAACAAAGCTCACAACGCTTGGTGGGCTCCAGGCTCCAGGTGGGCCCACTCCCCTCCTCTCCTTGGACACGGCTGTGCCCAAAATGCCCATGGAGAGGAGGAGCAACTGTGACCGCAGAGGAGGAGGGGAGCATGCTGGTACTTCCAGGTGACAGCCAGCAGCAGCGCATACTTTGCTTACTTCAAACTAAAGTGGGGTAGAAAAGCTGCACGGCCAGGCTCACGCTGGCAGAGCCCAGTTTTGAAGGCGGGCAGGGAAGCCTGGTTGCAGAGTCCTTCCCTGGCAGACAAAAGGGGGGTCACCTGCTGAAGCCCTCTGGGGTCACTGGGGTCGTTACGATGACTTCTATTACTCTGTTGCTTTGCAGGTTACACTGAGAGCTTCTGCACCCGAGAAAAGATTCCTCGAGAGTCTCATCGCTCTCGGCCAAATAAAGTATATTCTCTTCTGTTATTCTCTTCTGTAATGTAATATATATTCTATTCTATTCTATTCTATTCTATTCTATTCTATTCTATTCTATTCTATTCTATTCTGTTCTGTTCTATTCTATTCATTCTTAATTCTATTCTATTCGTTCCTTTCTAATTCTATTCTATTCTATTCTAGTCTATTCTATTCATTCCTAATTCTATTCTATTCTATTCATTCCTTTCTAATTCTAATTCTATTCTATTCTATTCTATTCTATTCTATTCTACTCTACTCTACTCTACTCTATTCTATTCTATTCTATTCTATTCTATTCCTTATTCTATTCTATTCATTTCTTTCTTATTCTATTCTATTCTATTCTATTCTATTCTATTCTATTCTATTCTATTCTATTCATTCCTAATTTTATTCTATTCTATTCAATTCTATTCATTCATTCCTAATTCTATTCTATTCTATTCATTCCTTTCTAATTCTATTCTATTCATTCCTAATTCTATTCTATTCAATTCTATTCATTCATTCCTAATTCTATTCTATTCTATTCTATTCTATTCTATTCTATTCATTCATTCCTAATTCTATTCTATTCTATTCTATTCTATTCTATTCTATTCTATTCTATTCTATTCTATTCTATTCTATTCCATTCCATTCATGAGGGATGCTCTCTTCTATTCCTGAATAATTGATTTCCCACTTGCCCCTCTGATTCTGGGACACTGTTTATTAGCATTTAGTGAGACTCCTTTAAAACTGCCCCCCCCCCCCCCATTTACCAGCCATATAAGTTCTCCAAAATAAAGTAAAAAATAAATCATTTCCTGGGGCTTGGTTGGTATGCCATTTTTGAATTATCTGGAATCCTGATTAGAAGAAATGTTGGATTTTCTTAAACCTCGGGTTTATCTCATTGGTTAATTTTGCAGACAACCCCCCCCCCCCCCCCCGCCTGCTTTCCATTCTAAAAGCTTTGAATTTGCTCAGTGTGTTGTGTTATTTTTAGCTGCCATAAATATCCTGCATTTGCATGGAAAGCTGGATAAGCCTGGAAGAAAGAAGAAATCCGAAATCTCACCTCATCTAGGAGAAAAGACTTTACCTTCTCCTCCTCCTCAGTGGTGCTTTCTTGAGGTTGACGACAATGCAATGCATGGAAAGGATTTCAATAGGGGGGAAAAAGTGGGGGAAGAAAACAAAGTTAGTCCCCATAGGAGAGAAGCCCCCACTCACTAGCACTGACAAAGTTACCTAGTTGGGTTATGAAAGGTTTGCAAGCAAACATCCAACCTCACAGAACAGCAAAGACTCCGAAGTTTTTTCACAAAAGATCCTACCAGGTGAAATGATATATATATATACAAACTATCTAGGAAACATTCTGAATAAATAAGACTCATACTTACATAACAATTTTTAAACAGAAAACCAAGCTCCCTAGCTGTGGAAAAAAAGATCCACAAAAATAATGAGAAATAATTGCCCATATAGGTATCTGAACACTTAGCCCTGGGAAATATATAATTTTTTTTAAAATCCAAAAAGGTATATGAACCTCTTCCTTGGCTCTACCTGGGCGATGGACTTCATAGGCACAGGTACCTGTCTCTTGCCTCTATCATACGCCCAAGCGTTGTTGGCCAGGCTCTGCTACGATGGGGGTTCTCTCCTCAACCTGGGGCTGTTTTCAGATGGGTGGGGGCTCCAGTCCCCAAGGCGGCCACGGTTGAGAAGCCAGTAATGGGCTTAGGCAGGGCGGTTTCTGCCAGTGCTCCGGAAGGCAGGCCTTGGAGGAGCTGCCCTAGGAGGGGCGGAGGAAGCCGGCTCCTCGCCTGCAAGTCCCGGGATCCTCCACTTCCTGTTCTCTCGCTGCCCCGGAAGGCCGGGGGCGACTTCCCTGGGCTGTATGGAAGAACTGGGTCTTAAGTTACAGGCACCGTGTGTGTGTGTGTGTGTGTATGTGGAATCCGCAAAAGTCTGCACAGACAGACAGTTGAGGAGCCCTTCCTGGTTTATTTCTGCGTCAAACAGCTCAGGGTTTCAGAGGAACTTTAAAACAGGTAGTCCTCAACTTACGGTTGTTCATTTAGTGACCGTTCTAAGTTACAACCACACTGAAAAAAGTGACCTATGACCATTTCCCCCAAGGCCGTTGCAGCGTCCCCAGGGTCACACGGTCAAAGTTCAGACATCTGGCAACTGACTCGTACTTACGTCAGTCGCAGCCTCCCGGGGCCCCGTGGTCCCCTTTGGCAACCGTCTGACCAGCAAAGTCGATGGGGGAGGCCCGGCTCACTTAACAGCCGTGTGACACACTGAGCGACCGCCCTGATCCGCTTAGCCCCCACTGTGGCAAGGAAGGCCGCAAAGTGGGGCAAAAGCAAAAAACCCGCTTAATCGCTGCCTCACTTGCAAAAAGAGACTTTGGGCTCCCTTGTGGGCGTAAGTGGAGGACTTCTAGTGTGGGACACAGCCTACCTGGAGTCTCCGGTTCACTCTCGGATATTCCTTCCTCTTCCACACGATAGAGTGTTTCTGCTGAACAACAACAACAACAAAACACAACTGTAGCCCTGAAGAGGTCCCAGCCATCAAGGGGAGCCCCGTAAGGTCCAGGCACCTCATGGATTTAACAAGACCCCCCCACACGTACCCACCCGCCAGGGACCCTTTCCCCTGGAGGAGCCCTCCTCTCCTCACGGATGACCCGGGGGGGGGGGGGGGAGAGCCGCTCCCGCCCAGGGAGGGGCCTTCTCGGGAAGAGAAGTTTATCACAGTTTTCAAAAGGTAGCAAGAGCCACGTGGGAACCGTCCTCCTTGGTCCCCTTGAAAATATTTTGTTTGGCCGCCCATCCCTTGTCTTACCCTAAACTGGACAGGGGATAAGTGGCCAAACTACATATTTTTCCAATTCGCCCTGGATATTCAGAGTTCAAACAGATGCCGGCAGCATTTTCAAACAATGGCAGACTTCCTTCCTTCCTCCCTCCCTCCCTCCCTCCCTCCCTCCCTCCCTCCCTCCTTCTACACAATTGGTTATTTTAATATTAAAATCTATTATATCTGTTAACGTTTCTAAGTCATTCATGCATCCTAATGGGACTGGAATTGATACCATGCCAACTTCAGGCGTATTAAGGAAATGCCACCATTTTCGCAACTTACTGCCTTCTGTGGTCTCACTTTTCTTTTTCCTGTCTGTACGTCTCTGCTGCTCCTTCTCTATTTCTAAACGAGAGACATTATGACAAGAATCAAGAGAATCGCATTCATTTCGGATCCCAGCCCACCTGAGGCCATCTAGCCGATCTTGGAACACGAAGAGAATGTTGAAGAGAATCCGCCTCGTCTCTGAGCCATCAGATTCACCCCAGAATTGCTCTTGCTGATTGCAAGGAGGCAGAGGAGAGGAGGGGGCTCTGCCAATCCCCC